AGGTGAGACAATACCAGGGGGTCGTAGGGAGGGTCACATCTTAGTCATCCCCGACTCAGGCAGGTGAGACAATACCAGGGGGTCGTAGGGAGGGTCACATCTTAGTCATCCCCGACTCAGGCAGGTGAGACAATACCAGGGGGTCGTAGGGAGGGTCACATCTTAGTCATCCCCGACTCAGGCAGGTGAGACAATACCAGGGGGTCGTAGGGAGGGTCACATCTTAGTCATCCCCGACTCAGGCAGGTGAGACAATACCAGGGGGTCGTAGGGAGGGTCACATCTTAGTCATCCCCGACTCAGGCAGGTGAGACAATACCAGGGGGTCGTAGGGAGGGTCACATCTTAGTCATCCCCGACTCAGGCAGGTGAGACAATACCAGGGGGTCGTAGGGAGGGTCACATCTTAGTCATCCCCGACTCAGGCAGGTGAGACAATACCAGGGGGTCGTAGGGAGGGTCACATCTTAGTCATCCCCGACTCAGGCAGGTGAGACAATACCAGGGGGTCGTAGGGAGGGTCACATCTTAGTCATCCCCGACTCAGGCAGGTGAGACAATACCAGGGGGTCGTAGGGAGGGTCACATCTTAGTCATCCCCGACTCAGGCAGGTGAGACAATACCAGGGGGTCGTAGGGAGGGTCACATCTTAGTCATCCCCGACTCAGGCAGGTGAGACAATACCAGGGGGTCGTAGGGAGGGTCACATCTTAGTCATCCCCGACTCAGGCAGGTGAGACAATACCAGGGGGTCGTAGGGAGGGTCACATCTTAGTCATCCCCGACTCAGGCAGGTGAGACAATACCAGGGGGTCGTAGGGAGGGTCACATCTTAGTCATCCCCGACTCAGGCAGGTGAGACAATACCAGGGGGTCGTAGGGAGGGTCACATCTTAGTCATCCCCGACTCAGGCAGGTGAGACAATACCAGGGGGTCGTAGGGAGGGTCACATCTTAGTCATCCCCGACTCAGGCAGGTGAGACAATACCAGGGGGTCGTAGGGAGGGTCACATCTTAGTCATCCCCGACTCAGGCAGGTGAGACAATACCAGGGGGTCGTAGGGAGGGTCACATCTTAGTCATCCCCGACTCAGGCAGGTGAGACAATACCAGGGGGTCGTAGGGAGGGTCACATCTTAGTCATCCCCGACTCAGGCAGGTGAGACAATACCAGGGGGTCGTAGGGAGGGTCACATCTTAGTCATCCCCGACTCAGGCAGGTGAGACAATACCAGGGGGTCGTAGGGAGGGTCACATCTTAGTCATCCCCGACTCAGGCAGGTGAGACAATACCAGGGGGTCGTAGGGAGGGTCACATCTTAGTCATCCCCGACTCAGGCAGGTGAGACAATACCAGGGGGTCGTAGGGAGGGTCACATCTTAGTCATCCCCGACTCAGGCAGGTGAGACAATACCAGGGGGTCGTAGGGAGGGTCACATCTTAGTCATCCCCGACTCAGGCAGGTGAGACAATACCAGGGGGTCGTAGGGAGGGTCACATCTTAGTCATCCCCGACTCAGGCAGGTGAGACAATACCAGGGGGTCGTAGGGAGGGTCACATCTTAGTCATCCCCGACTCAGGCAGGTGAGACAATACCAGGGGGTCGTAGGGAGGGTCACATCTTAGTCATCCCCGACTCAGGCAGGTGAGACAATACCAGGGGGTCGTAGGGAGGGTCACATCTTAGTCATCCCCGACTCAGGCAGGTGAGACAATACCAGGGGGTCGTAGGGAGGGTCACATCTTAGTCATCCCCGACTCAGGCAGGTGAGACAATACCAGGGGGTCGTAGGGAGGGTCACATCTTAGTCATCCCCGACTCAGGCAGGTGAGACAATACCAGGGGGTCGTAGGGAGGGTCACATCTTAGTCATCCCCGACTCAGGCAGGTGAGACAATACCAGGGGGTCGTAGGGAGGGTCACATCTTAGTCATCCCCGACTCAGGCAGGTGAGACAATACCAGGGGGTCGTAGGGAGGGTCACATCTTAGTCATCCCCGACTCAGGCAGGTGAGACAATACCAGGGGGTCGTAGGGAGGGTCACATCTTAGTCATCCCCGACTCAGGCAGGTGAGACAATACCAGGGGGTCGTAGGGAGGGTCACATCTTAGTCATCCCCGACTCAGGCAGGTGAGACAATACCAGGGGGTCGTAGGGAGGGTCACATCTTAGTCATCCCCGACTCAGGCAGGTGAGACAATACCAGGGGGTCGTAGGGAGGGTCACATCTTAGTCATCCCCGACTCAGGCAGGTGAGACAATACCAGGGGGTCGTAGGGAGGGTCACATCTTAGTCATCCCCGACTCAGGCAGGTGAGACAATACCAGGGGGTCGTAGGGAGGGTCACATCTTAGTCATCCCCGACTCAGGCAGGTGAGACAATACCAGGGGGTCGTAGGGAGGGTCACATCTTAGTCATCCCCGACTCAGGCAGGTGAGACAATACCAGGGGGTCGTAGGGAGGGTCACATCTTAGTCATCCCCGACTCAGGCAGGTGAGACAATACCAGGGGGTCGTAGGGAGGGTCACATCTTAGTCATCCCCGACTCAGGCAGGTGAGACAATACCAGGGGGTCGTAGGGAGGGTCACATCTTAGTCATCCCCGACTCAGGCAGGTGAGACAATACCAGGGGGTCGTAGGGAGGGTCACATCTTAGTCATCCCCGACTCAGGCAGGTGAGACAATACCAGGGGGTCGTAGGGAGGGTCACATCTTAGTCATCCCCGACTCAGGCAGGTGAGACAATACCAGGGGGTCGTAGGGAGGGTCACATCTTAGTCATCCCCGACTCAGGCAGGTGAGACAATACCAGGGGGTCGTAGGGAGGGTCACATCTTAGTCATCCCCGACTCAGGCAGGTGAGACAATACCAGGGGGTCGTAGGGAGGGTCACATCTTAGTCATCCCCGACTCAGGCAGGTGAATTTAGCAGTTTTGACAATACTGAACAGTACTGGTAAGGAATGTGCTGATGAATACAGAGCTGGACAGGGAAGTGCTGAAAAGGGTAGGAAAGGAAGGAGAGAGCTGGAAAATACAGCAAAAGAGGGACTGAGCTTGTAAAGAGTAAGGATAATTAGACTAGATAGCTGATGAATACCTCAATAGCAATGGACAGTGCTCGTTCAGCGAGTTCCAATGTTTTTTTAGTTAAAACTTAAAGCTTTAATTGCAGTAAACATGGTGGCGAGACTTTTTTATACATGAAAAGCTTGTTTTTCCCTCGCACGGTAAGAAATTAGCCAACATAGCAAGGAACACTTAGATAATCTGATCTGAGGAAACTAGAACTACTGAGAATAAATGATAATGTTGGAGTAAATAATTAAGCTTATGTCCTTACTTTCCATGAACAGATAAGATTTTAGTTTTAATTTATTTTAGAGTTAACTTCTACCTTTCTAGATATCATGGTCGCACGGTGATGTTTATAATAGCTATTTTCTCACAGTTTCTTAATAGTTTAATTTATGCGAGTAATATTTATGCAAGTTCAAAGTTATACAAGTTTCAGTTTCAGTGGAATATATTGAATAGTGGTAGCAGTTTCAAGTAACACTAAGATTAATAGCATACAAACTAAAGTTTATAGTTTTGAATATTAATTATATCTTAACTAGCTGTTTCTAAGTTATTAATTGCTTTCTCTGTATGCATGATGCTTGCGTTATTGTAGCGTTTATAATTTATAATTGTGGTTGCAAAAAGCAACTTTTGAACAGTGGTTTTGATTGCTTTCAAAATTTATAAATGTGGTTACAAAAGGCAAATGCAGTGGTTACGAGATGCTTACTTAAGCTTGTTGTCAGAACTGGATCTCATAATAGTCGTATGGTTATTATCAATTTATCATAATAGGTTACACACTAACGCGAACGTGAGAATCTAAGGAACTCACATGGTTCATTTCAAATACGTTTAAATATAATGACCACTACCGGTACCATGGTGAACAACTGGCCGGGATAACTTATTAAACAAACTCATGGCCCAAACATGTTTTTGCAAACATTTTGTTTGCTTATTGTTACCATGTTGATTGTTGATCTTCAATTACGACTTCCAGGCCCCCTCTATTATTAGGGGTCAGATCATATGACGTATAATTAGTGATGTGACGTATAATTAGTGATGTGATCCACCAACTACGATTTACAGAACATGTGAACTCTACCCTACATCTAGCCCAGTTTTACCCCTTACTTTTGATTTAAATGAGTTGGGTATGGCAATTCCTTCGCCTCTTAGCGGGTGTCCGTTTTAGGGACATTAGGACTTCTCTTCGCTCAGAAGCTGCGAGGTCTGCTTCGTGGGTGTGCGTTTTCTGACTTAATGTAAGGGTGTTGTCTGACAGGGTGAGATAACACCGACAGGGACACTTCGTAGGAGGAGTGTGCTTGCAGCACCGCCAGGCAGACTTGAGGGCTGAATCCTTGTCCTTCTTCCGGGACTATACTATTGTCTATCATCTTCCCGTATATATACCTAAGAACACTTGATCGGCTCACTCCCGTTGCATGCCTTTGGCACGTACGTCTCACATCCCTAGATACGAGAACCCCCCTTTAGCAAGAGCTCCCGTCCCTTATGTGATATACGAGTCGAGCGGTCAAATCTTAAAGATCATGTTTACTTCTTAATGAACTGCTATGATGTACATGTGAACTCTACCCTGTATCTAGCCCATTTCTAGGTCAGTTAAATCCTACTGATGGATCACATCACTAATTATACGTCACTAATTAGTGATATGATCTGATCTCCCTGGGCCCCCTAGTAATGAGGGGGCCTGGCCGTCGGCCTCCCCATGTCAAGTACACTGAAAGTTACATGACAAAACTAAACACGAGGAAGGTAGCGAGTTTCACAATCCAAGCACAGAAATTCAGACTGATTTTCAAAAATGATGGATCAATCTTTAAGATATTCTAACAGAGTACTTATGTAAATTATTGATTAAGTTCATGAACTTTCATGAACTTTACTCACAAAGGTGTAAATCTTGTATCCTATCTGAGAGGATGGTTGAGATAGAGCAACACTCAGACTATCGTATACCTCCTCTAGAACTTCACCTTCAACCTGGACAGTTATAGAGAATTAGCATTAATGCATTTAGACGTGGAGCTGTATAATTTTATTTAAGTGAAAGTTAGATTTCAATCGTTGGATCAACAACTATATAATGTATAATTGTTGATCCAATATCTATTTGTTGTACTCAATAACAAATTATTACAGTCGCTTATAATTATACATTTTATGTATTTTAAAAGCAAATAGTTAATATTTAATAGCAGGAAACCTGATTAATCCAAGATTTGATGAACTTCTGAACGTAGGAACTTGCCATCGGATATTTAGATATCGTCGGGTGTCCGATTGTCTGAGATATAACTAAATTATTAGAACGGTACGTTGGTACAGTACACACCTTTTAACATGAGTAACCTACAAAGACACAGCAGATCAAAAGTTTAAACAGAGATATCTATAATCTTATGAATACACTAAATAACAGGACCAACCTAAACAGAGATATCTATAATCTTATGAATACACTAAATAACAGGACCAACCTTGTCGTACAGAGATATCTATAATCTTATGAATACACTAAATAACAGGACCAACCTAAACAGAGATATCTATAATCTTATGAATACACTAAATAACAGGACCAACCTTGTCGTACAGAGATATCTATAATCTTATGAATACACTAAATAACAGGACCAACCTTGTCGTACAGAGATATCTATAATCTTATGAATACACTAAATAACAGGACCAACCTAAACAGAGATATCTATAATCTTATGAATACCTTACTCGGGATTATTACGACGGGTTTATTAACGACCGGTTAAAATATGGTTCGGGAAAAATATGGCGAAATTGCTCAAAACCCACCACATTTTCCCGGTCGCCATTTTACCGGTGTCCAACCTTTCAATTTTAGATTCAAAAATTTTGTCTCAGATGTAAATTTCCTTATTAGAGATAAACAAGTCGAATTATCAATAATTGTTGAAAGTAGACAGAAATAATGATCAAATAACCATTATGACTCAATTTGTAGAAAATCTTCGAAAGAATGCATCGTTCACATTGTTTAGAATTATGAATAAATGACTGATGAAACTGATTCATGTTATTGACAGTTTTAATTAATTCAAGTTTTAATTTACCTGTTACTTTTACTTTGAGTCCTATTTCATTATGTAGAGATAGTTAATACCTAAGAAATTAAAAATTGGCCTATTTAAATCAACTTTGACAATAAGGATATATGACAAGAATTGGGCAAAAAGGTGAATTTTTTGCAATTTTAGCCAAATGAAGTCGAAAAACCTACAACAAGTGTCCCAATAGTCTTCTTTAGTGAATATAAGACAACGATAAAAATCTGAGCACCCATACCCCTTGGGAACCCTAAAAGCTGAGACGGCGGGTTTATTAACGACCGGTGAAAATGTGGTTCGGGAAAAATATGGCGAAATTACCCTAAACCCGCCACTTTATCCCGGTCATAATAATCCCGAGTAAGGTACACTAAATAACAGGACCAACCTTGTCGTACAGCATTCGCTGAGATCCAACACTTCCCAACTGAAAGCGTCACGTGATAACATGTACTTCAACACTGAAAATCTAATATCTTAAAATAATTTTCAAAACATGGCCTGATTTTAATAACTAAGCAAAGCAAAGTTCCGTAATTCGTAGTTCTGCAAGAATGTTTCTTCTACCTTACAACTTACAAATGGCTTGGCTTTATGCCAAGAAAAGAGTCTGCAGTTGCCAAGGAACATGAGGGACAAATCTTCCAAGACTTGGTTGTTTGGCAGCTCCCCAGCCAACATTGTTCGTCTTGTAAGGAGCTTAAATTTATGAGTATTAAATCTCGGATTACATTGTTAAGTGGATACACGCTGTAAGGTGGATTTGTTGGTACTATGCCGAAATTTATCATTTGGAAGTATCTATTTTTAATTTCAAGATAACTTAATCTGATCTGAGTAAATTAAATTGATATTCATGTCAAAGTATTAGTATATACTATATAGTTGTACATTTGATAATTATTTTTAGAATTAAAAGGATAATGATGATTGATGAAGGACCAGAGAAGTCGAAAAAACAGCGCAACTTACGATAAACGAGTCATTAGTTACATAATATAATAATTATTGTACATGGCATTATGTTACATTAAAACATTCCTAATCAAAGGGCATAAGTATCAAAATACGACTTCATGTATGTTATAGCTGACAGAACTTTCACGTTGCACAAGATACTTAGATAGCAAACAATGTCAGGTTCTAAATGTTGCAAATGGTCCCAAACAGATATATAAGACTTAAACTATCGTCATTTAAAGAAGTATCTAATTTACTAGTAAACCGAGCTGTGTCCTGATAGCACTGACAAGATATTATGCACATAATTAATCCAATCTTCAGTTACTCGAACAAAAGTAATGTTAGACCTTTAACATTTCGATAGCTAACTCTAGGTAATGCATTGCTCTAACTAGAACATTTTACACAGCGCAACTATTGGAACACCTAATTTAGTTCTATAAACAATTTACCACGAAATAAATATTAAGATAAAACAACAAAATGGCATCATGACGTTTATGAAAAATTCACATCAACGAGGAAATAGTGCTGGAGGAAGACATTCGTTTCCCAGTTCTGGAACTTTTAATTGATGGGGAAGTATTGAAATGTCTAGTCGAAATGCCATTAGGAATCGTACCAACTTGAGAAAGCTGACGCTCAAGTCGTTTCACCATCGCTGCCAATGCATCGTTTTCGTGTTGTGATGCCAGGAGTTCAGCCTCTCTCTGTTTCAGCCTCTCTGTAAGGTCTGATACTTGGGTGTCATACTGATCTTTTAAGGAAGCTTCTTGAGACAGAGACTGGTGCAGATTGTAGAAAAGCCTCAATGATTGAAGTTCATCCTCTAGTTTTGAGACTTGGTTTTGTGATAAATCTTTAGATTTCTTCACAGCTGATAATTGAGAGTCCAGTTTTACACATTTTTTGAGTGCAGTTTCTTTTTCAAATCTCATTTTATTAAACTCATTATGATTAGGAGTGGATGGCTTACTTTTTGCTTCCATGCTTCTGATAGAGTTTTCAATTTTCTTTAAAATGTCCTCTCCGTTCTTGATGATCAAGTCTTCTTTTTCTATGTCAGCTAGATGCACAAAATTGGTGAATTGGCGGTCATTGGGTTTACTCTCACTAAATGATCCACTATCAACACTACTTGACATTGTACCTAATGAACAGAGGGAATTTGTGCGCTCTTCTTCCAACATTTGTATCCTGCCATGAAATGATTTTTCTCTTTTAGCCTCAAGAATCTTCATTCTCTCAATTGCCTCAGAGTGTTTCAGATTAAAGTCCGATCTCATTGTTTTGCGATTACCATCCAGTTTTTCAAGCTGCATTTGTAAATTAAAAATGTTAGAATGTAATTCTTTATTTTGATTTACAATTTGGTCAACACGCTGAAAGAATCGGTCCTCAGAATCCGGACTTGAATATTTCTCTGTCTGACAAGAGACATCAGAAAGTTTATACAGAGATTCTGAACATTGAACTTGTTTGGAGGAGGTGAGTATGTCACTGCATTTGTGGCAACGAAGTTGATTAACTTGTCTTTCAAGATCATTCTGTTTCTTTAAACTCTGCTCATACTGGTAACGTAAATGCTTGATAGTCTCGTCAGCCTGCAGTATGCTTGCATGAACCAGTTGATCAAATTCTTCGTCTGAATCATGATCTATCATGATTTGGCAATAACCAGCTCCTCATCTGTTACCAACAGTCCTTTATCAGCTATGTCATATTATCTTTTGTATATTTTAGATCCACCTGTAGAATGATTAAAAATAAAAATAGAATTCAGGAGTATTATAATGATTCGCATGTAAAGAAAAGTTTACTAAAAGGCCACTTTTCTGTTACAAATTTGGCGTCCAATCAATCAATCAACAAACAACAACAACAAATCAAACAATAATTACAGAAACATCATCTTAGATTAAAAACGTGATATAAAATTGCACGTTTTCAACTTTGGTAGCCTAGAACTGCTAACCCGATTAAGTAATTGTACTCATGCTTTGTCAGCAGTAAGATCACATCATCAGTTATCTTGTGTAAAATATATGCTTAAAAATATATGCCTTCGAGCGTCGACTCGAAGGCAACATGACGATTAATTAATTGTACCCTGCAGTTCACTATTAACCATAGTGCAATCTATATTAATAATCTCAATATATGTATGTGTGTGTGTGAGTGAGTGTGCGTGTGTGGGTAGTTTACGAACGGCTTTTAATTAAGGAAACGGTAAGAGGCACGTGGCTGGTTTTATGATTTTTGAGTATAGTGCCAACAAAACTCTGACGAAGCCCAAGAGCTTAAGTTTTTTTAAATCGGCCGGTGGTAAGTGGTTAAATTGATGATTTTGTGACCGAAATGTGATACTTAAGTTTCTCACGTTCTCTTACTCTCTCTCACTCTCTCTCACTCTCTCCCACTCTCTCTCTCTCTCCCATGACAGATTTGCTATTTAATTAGAAAACTTTGCAGTGGACCACAAGATTGTCTATCAAGTATTACTATTAGATATGTGAGGGGCACTCAGAATTGAATTGAGGCACTGAGCGATCTCATACTTTTGCACCGTTTTAACTGCGACAGTGCAATTCATGTTTTCGAATAAGCAGGATTATGCTTTTGCATCTCAAATGCGATAATGAAGTTCCGGCCGTAGACCTGGGTTACATTAGTACAATAATAGCTATAAGCTGCATGCCTTGCCATCGGTTAGGTATTCAGTATAACAGTTAAAGGTGGAGAATCACTGTGTTTTAATGTAAAGTAGTTTACCAGAATTACGTGTTGTGATAGACAACTTATGAGACCTCCACGACTTTTTATGATCCAGGAGTGTTGATCAAGTCCAAATCACGTATTATTACAGTGGGTGGCAAAGTTTTGATAGAGATGATAAAAGTTCTAAGCAGATCGAATAGCAGTCTGTGTCTGATAAAGGACATTACATCGCAGTACCCTTACATGTTAGGAACAAGAGCCACTTCAGTAAATTTGGAGTGTCTCCGCTTGGCGGGTAACAGTCCTCCTTTTCTGAACAACAAAAAGTTTAAGATTGTGCATGGACAGGTCATTTTGGCACAATTAAGCAAAGCCTTAAAGCAAAATAAACTTTGGCAAAAATTTGATAAATTTCTTAATACAATGCAAATAGCGCTCGATTTTACGGACGAAATTAAATGTGACCAGGCTTATGGAAAATATGACCTTTAAAATAAAATCTGGAATTACATTAAGAATTATACTAAAAATTCGAGCGTACTAAATTTTTGAAAACTCTAATTTCGAGAATTGAACAAATAAGTACTCATATCATGGGGTCAGTTATTAAAAACATCTTGATCGATGTATTTTGAATAACGTTAATCGTGGCTTTTGCCGCGCCAGGGTAAAAGCGGAAGCGGTTAAATTTGACCGTTCTGTGCACATGCTTATACGTTTTTGTTCTATGATAAAGCTGTACTGGGATTTTGTCATACGTTGTATGACCCGCCGCGCACGAGTGCGTGGCTCCCACTGTTTCGTAAGAACAATAAAGTGAAACGACCGTGGGGGTCACGACGTGAAACAACTGGGATTGTGAAAGTAAGTTATACCAACGTATTTTTACGCTGATTTCGAATAAGACCTATTAGTATTACAGTATTACTGATTACATAGCACGAAAATCATTTCTTGACGAGTTATGACCAAATAACCATTTTTGTCAAACGCGCGCACGTGACAGGCTTGTAAAACGCGAACGGTAAATAATATTTGAGCTGTTTGTATTTTAGGATTTGAGTTAGTTTTGGTTTTAAAGTAACTGTGAAGATAATATAAAGATTTGAAGTACAAGTTAATGTGCACCTTAACGTTAAATACTTTATTTGGGGACCCCAGGCTATTATATTTATGTTCATAATCATAGAATATAGATTATGCAGAATATATGACAGGCTGAGCGCCGCCCAGTAATAAATACTCACCATTAAAATCGAAATCAGCATTTACAAATGTACACTTATTAGGAAAAAAATTCTAGGAAAAACTGTTTGTTAGGTAAACTGTTTGTATTTATATTGTAAGTGACATTGTATAATTCTGAAACGGATTTCAAAACTTATTCCGGGGTAGTGTGTGGCCGTGGGCAGTTACTTTTGTATATAAACCTTGGACCCAACTTAATGCGTGCTTTGCATTTGACACAGTAGAACAAATACAACCTAACAAATATAATTACAACGAATATTAGATAATCAACTTTTTTATAATGTTAACATTCAAATAAAACGTTAATCATTTTAATTCTTTTGTCATTTCTATGTGATCATGTTGTATCCTTGTATCATAGGTGCTATGCATGATGTTTTGTTTTATTATGTGATACACCAAAATCACATTATGTGTGCTGTGCTTTTACATATTGGTATTCAAAAAGCCACCAGTATGTAAATAACCCAAACAAACAAAATTTTAACCGTATCAAGTATTAAATATTTAGTAACTTTATTACTAGCGATCATGACCTGATTGTTGAACAGTGTTCGACTGAATGCTTGAGATGTGACATTGTAATTCGTTTCTCATACGACATGTGAATACCAAGATAGGATTTTGGAGCATGATGTATAATTTTTGGAGCCTTACCACTTACGAGGTTTTCCGAAAATTATTAAGGACTGACGACTGTCAGTTGAAACAGCTATGTCAGCTAAAACAGTTATATTCACTAGCAGGAACCCGTCTTACTATAAAGTGGTGTCAAGACTCAAGAGACTAAAATAATTATTACCTTTTTAATTCGCGTTTTTGACACCACTTGGGGGTCCAAATTTTGGGCACTAAAATTCTTATTCCTTGGCCAATTTTATATTTTTTCATACTGATTTGAAGGCCATTAAAGCATTTGACCCAGTCAAAAAAGTTTCAGTTGTATATCTTTTACGGTTTTTGAGGAAAGTCCCGTTAAAGTTGATGCCGTGGTGTCAGTAAAATGGCACGGAACCATATATATCGTCTCGCTTTATATATAGTAAGATTATACTTATCTTATCTCTGAAAATGTAAACTATCAGTTTTATGGACATATTCTTGGTTACATGATTGTTATTCGCCATTCTCTGAATTGTATTTTCAGAGGCATTGTTGCTTGAAGTAATAGAAGTAGGTTTGCTTGAGTGGATCCAATTTGATATGATTTAAATGTTTGTTATTGGTTTCATCACCTCCCTTTTTACAACTGTTGGATTGTTATTCCCTAGTAATTTTCATCTCAAGTTTTGATTTTTGATTGAATGTCTTTTTGTTCAAGAAACTATTCTTTAGTTTTTACATACATCTAAAGTATGTGCGGGGGGGCGCCATCTGTGGGGGGCGCAAAATCGTCGTTTGAATATGGGACAATTTTGAAAAACTTAACTGAGGTACTAGCAAAACTGCACGTTTGATTCTATGCATAATTTGAGAGGCTGTGAATCGAACATTTCAAAAAGCCTTAATGTTACGACTGTTCCAAGTTTAAGTTTCCAGTTAATTGAATATCAAGTCAGTGGCGTAACGAGTAATGATAATAGTGGTTTATTACCCATTGTTGACATTTAATAGTAATCTATGATATTGTCTCCATGTTTATTAGCACACAAGCCAGGTGTACTGAATAATGCAAAAAACAATTTCCCCATTTAAATTAATTAGAGACACAATTAAGGCTGATTTGGTATATTTTAAAATATCGTTTAAAATAAGTATACATACATGATACACCATAGATAGTGAGCTGCTTTAAACAATCGATAAGTCAATCAGCTGATCACATTTATTATATCAAAATTGTACAGCTTCAATAGATCGTGTAAGCTTAACATACTGTTTGCTGTGAGGCATGGTTACACCCACAAAAAATCGCCCCATTCAGCTATACTATGTACACTGGACTGAATTGTGCCAATTTGTTTTGTAAATATCATAGAAATGGTTAATCTTCCTTAATGTAGGAAGAAATAGATCCCAATCATTTTATAGCACACATGTTGTGATGTTGGATTATAATGGGGATTTCATTTAATATTAACAAAAACTTGAGATTATTTTAGACACACTAAACATCTGTTACAAAATAAGGCTCATTACCGTCGTTTAATTAGTTATTTTATCTATTGCAATATCCAGACAACTCCTAAACTAGGAACCGCAAATTGGTGGAGGTCTGCACTATTATCCTGGTGTTGCTCAACAATTAGTCTCCTCTCAGTTCAATAATTGGCATCGCAGGAATGCTGCGTGGTTGCACAGTATAACACAAACTGTTTTTAAGGCAACAGTCTGCGTCGGTCAGGGAAAAGAAGATGAAGAGCAAAGTTTTCATCCTGGTGGGACCAGCCACGGTTATCTCGCTGGTATTATACACAATCTGTCTCAATCCACAGGACTTATTGTCAAATATTTCTGTCTTCAAAATTCTTTGTCTTGTAACATCATTACATGGTACCAGTCGTGCATGACACTGTTTCCACAAGTTAATGATCCATTGCCATTCATAAGTCATACCAACTATTTCTGTCTATTGTTTGTTGAACTGCTAGGCTGCTTCAAGCCTAATTCTATTTACTGATGTTCTGCAGCCCATTGTCCACTACATGATCTCTCTGACACCTTTACTCCCGCTGCCCTATTTATATTGGTTAATGTTAACACGTAGTATTGGTGAAACTATTGATGAAACTATTTGGCTGAGAGCCAAACAAGAGTACCAGCTCTGACTGCATATGTAACATTAAAGTAAATTTGTAAATGTGCAATAGTATACGTCATAATATAGTACACTACATATATTAATAATATGTAGTATTAATATATAATAAAACAGCTTATAATTATTCATTAGTTGTTGCTTGGTTCCCCGGGAAATTGCTCTCCTGACAATCAGTATCATTTCAAACAAGTGAAACACTCGAAATATGCGGAGAGACTAATAGTTTCACGGTAAAGTCAGTTCTATGACTATACCATATTACCATGAAATGGTTCGTCTGCCCGCCAATTTCGAGTGTTACTATTAATTTTAAATAATACAACTACCTACACAGTAATGCTATGATTGAGGATATTGAGTCTCAAGAACATTATGAGAGTGTTGTGGATGAAGTCAGAGGTGAGAGGATCATGATGGTCATGTTCTACGCTAACTGGTGAGTCATCTTCATATCACGTTTCAAACTGGTGAGTCATCTTCATATCACTTTCGTTTCAAACTGGTGAGTCATCTTCATATCACTTTCGTTTCAAACTGGTGAGTCATCTTCATATCACTTTCGTTTCAAACTGGTGAGTCATCTTCATATCACTTTCGTTTCAAACTGGTGGGTCATCTTCATATCACTTTCGTTTCAAACTGGTGAGTCATCTTCATATCACTTTCGTTTCAAACTGGTGAGTCATCTTCATATCACTTTCGTTTCAAAATGGTGAGTCATCTTCATATCACTTTAGTTTCAAACTGGTGAGTCATCTTCATATCACTTTCGTTTCAAACTGGTGAGTCATCTTCATATCACTTTATTTTCAAACTAGTGAGTCATCTTCATATCACTTTCGTTACAAACTGGTGAGTCATCTTCATATCACTTTCGTTTCAAACTGGTGAGTCATCTTCATATCACTTTCGTTTCAAACTGGTGAGTCATCTTCATAACACTTTATTTTCGTAGTTTATGATTTAGATAAACCCAATGGGAATATGATACTACATTGAAAGAATTTTTAGTACACATTTTTTCACACAAACCTAAACTCTAGTCATAGCAAAATACATTTTTGAATTTTATGTAATACAATAATACCTTCGCTTTTGAGGGCTACGCGTGATAATTTGCGGCCCGAAGAAGCGGAGGTATTATTTGCTATAACTATTGACGGTGGCTCGTGTAAGATGTGTAATGTGATACGTGCGCATGATACAATATAGTGTGTAATATATAGTGCGCCACTGTTATTTGTTTTGAAACTTCCCGCCAGCCAGTCTGAGGTGACTCCCAGTATGTGCTGATAATACCTTCGGTTCCTTGCAGGAAAAATCTGCAAATTATCAGCTCTCATTGTCGAAGAGTTTTAGTGCATATAATTCCCGGAAATAGTTATAATGCAATAATTGTATACTAACATAATATGTACCAATTTTAGCCTGAAGATGGTGTTGACGCCGAAAATTTGCCTACATTCTTGACTTCCTGTTTCATTTGTCCTTGTCTCTTCTAACCGGGTATTGTCCAACTATCAACATTTTTTAATGTATGAGTACAGCTAATTTTGACGTGGTTCTCCCGCTGCCCATACCTGCGCTAATGTAAATTACTCACAATTAGTAACTAATTCGGTGTATCATTCATCACGATCGTATCTATGAATTTCACAGAAAAACTATCGATTAAACTTATGCGAAAAAATCCGGGAAAATTTTTGTACTAAATTTAAAATTGCGCATTAAATTTAATCTGGAATTCGATATTTTACTGAGTAACCCAGTCCAGAGTCACGTGTGATGATTAAATAATTATTACCGAGTAGAGCAATCTTTGCAATTATCAATTATTGTCATGGTTATTAATTTCTCGTTTAATTAAATATTAAATATTAAATATTAAAATTAAATCTTTATTAACTTTTGTTTTATTAATTGATTTTATCCATCCGATAATTCGTCTCATTGTGATTAGAGGATGGTTAAAATCAATTAAACGAGATATTAATGAATTGTGTATTAAGGCTGATGACTGATAATATTACAGGTGTGGTCCATATAAATGTTCACTACCACATGTCACGAGGCTAGCGGGAGAAATGAAAGACAAGTGTACTTTCTACAAGGTTTGTTGTTGTTTAAAGGGTATTTTAGTCATTTCAGAAACCACGGTGAAATTTGCAAGCACTAAAAAATGGAGTGATTCAACTTGTGAAGATTGATGACGTCAAATTTATTATTATTATAAGCACACATGTCACATAGTCATTAATCACATACAATGACACATAATAACCTCATCGAGTGGTAATTTCAGTTAAATGTGACGGATCACGAGGAGTTGGTAAAGCTTTGTAGAATTTTCGTGTTACCAACGTATCTTGTGTGTGCTGATGGAAAGGTAACCTAAATTAGTAATACAATTCAAAAACCTAAATTATTAATACAAAGAAGGCACTATCAAAACAGTCTCAATATAATGTATAAAAGGGATCACGATTGCTGAAATCTTCTCTGACCCAGTTAACCATTTGGCCAATCATTTCTCCGATATAATTTGACATTAAGTATTATTACGAGTTCCTGTTATTTATTCTCCATCTGTCAGGTGATAGACATGTTGGTGGCCCCAGGGCTGGAGAAACTCCGAAACAAGATTGACTACCATCAGAAACAACACCGCAGACAACTCCTTCACAGACACAGATACCACAGGTCTGCGTACGAGGGTAACTACTGCAGGGAGGTTGTAGCTGATGCTCCTCTGACGTATCCGATCAACAAAGGACACGTGATGTGACGTCATCGTAATTCATGACGTCATCAAATTTGGTGATGTCACTATTTGTGATACAACAATGCGGTGACATCAAATTCATGAAACTATTCCATGTTTTCTTTTCATGATAGGTTTATTGAGCATGATTTTGGTGACAGCGAAATTTCTCGCCGGTATATTGTCGTTCAGGACGTCCGGGAAGAGCTAGCTCAATAAAAATCCGGAAATATTATTCAAACACAACTGCAAGATGGTTGTATTTATGTAAATCAGTGGAAAATATGATGCATTAGACACTGCTTGACGCAAATATATTTTTAACTGAAGTCTGAAATCTGAATGGTAGACCAGGTTTGAGATCAAAGTTGGACCGATGTTGTTTTACAGTGTGAAATAGGTTAAATATGTGAAATATGTGGAATGTTTCTAATTCCTCGCATGCCGCTCTGACGAAACACGTGGCATGTTCTAGAAATTACCACAATTAACTCGTTTCTATTTTGTTTTTTTCTTTAACTAGACCAAACAAACGCTTTGCTTTTTTCACTACAGTAGAAAAAGAATCGATTTTATATTGAGGAACTGTTGTAAGTTGTTGGTTTGTTTTTTTTTTCGTTTATAAAATTTCTAAAGTTTTGTTTGCCTAAATCTGAAAGGTGATATTTAAGCTTCATAGTCGAATGTTACAATGAGTGATTTGTGAATTGTTATACAGTAAAACCCCGATTTGTTCTACCCCGAGGCCCGAATCCCCTAAACAACGATTTACCACTACTCTTCCCTTTCCCCCAACATTTTGGAAAAAGGTCTAATCGTTTAGTTTGATAGATCCTTTGAAATACGACTTATTAATGGGTCCTTGATGAGCTTGTCAGGCTTGTAACTCCAACTAATTGGCCCTTACTTGAGTGCTTGTGAACCATAACTATTGGGAACCAGTACTAAGTACTGTTCGGAGAGGAACCATGTCATCTGATTTTCATCCCGATTTACCGAGCTATTTTTCCTCCGCCAAAGTGTGCGGAAAATTGGGTTTTTACTCTATTGGAGTTTTACTGTATATGCTGAATGAGGTTAATGAACGTTTTGTTTGTCTGATATCGAAAAGTCGTTTTTTGATTAAATGGTTGGACAACATAATTTGATTTCTTTGTGACTTTTGAAAAGTAGACGCATCTTCGCGTATATATAATGTAGATTTTAGACTCACTTTTAAATAGGTTTTAAATGAAGACCATTACTTTAAATAACGATTTATTTGTTCAATACATTTAAATACTGAGTTCTTATTTATTAGATAATACAATGAATTGATAGTCAATCAATCATATGTCAAAGCATTGCTGTAATACTAATATTGGACAAATTCACGATAGGAAATAAGGGTTAATCGGTCATCGAATCAAAACTTACTGGTTACTCTGATCAATCTAATGACAAAGTTGAGTTATTAAAAGTTAATTCATTACAATTACATTACTTGTCACATATCTGAGTAACCTACACTTTGCACACCAGATCTGGTTACTTTAGATAGAGCTGACTAGAGCAGTGTAACTTAGAATTTGTTTACAGTCTGCCGAATAGGAGGAGGAAAAGCAATTTAAATCTAATATTAAATATTTAAATATTAAAAATATGGTTTCCTACAACAATCACAGTCACTCATTTTTATTTATTCGGTTCAGCTCAGTAAAATTGTTCCGGGTATAAGTTATTGAAAAGTAATGTAATCAGTAATGTAGACGGAGGGTTATTAAATACATTGATGAAAAAAGTGAGCGTGGCAGGGGGGGGGGTGCTTCCGGTTGGAGTTGATGCTTCAAACATTTTTTGGTAGTTATTTGGCCTAAGGAACAACAGATAAGCCTATTGCCACAACTATTTGATAATATTTTTGTTTTATGAACCGGGCTAGTTACCAGCTTGGTAGTACGACTACTAGTCTAGAACAGTCTAGATTACTAGTCTAGAACAGTCTAGATCACTCAGCTTGTTTATATCGGTTTTGCACCTTGGCTCAGGCTAATCGTTGAAGCGCAGTCACGCCATTAGGTCATTAATTTAATAACGTCAGCAGATTCGGCAGAACCGATATTTACACCATTTTCCTTGGTGCACCGTCAGAAAGACTGCACTAATTGGTTTTCAAACACTAAATACTGCGTGGTTAATAACTAATGACCACTTAATGGTCATTTAGCTATCGCTAGTTTGGCACTCCCAGGGCCAGAGCAGGTATATTGTAGATAAAACCACCCGGTCTAAACATCACAATATCTCACAATACACTGACAATACACTGACAATGTATTTCAGATCATGGTGAGAGCTAAACAGCAGCTGCTTTTTATATTACTTCAGAAGAAATAGGGTTCCGGGGGTTTACATCTCACTAACATTCGGCCTGTACTCATGACATGCTTCTTATTGAGGCAGCACCATGGTGAGGCATTGCTACAACTGTGGAGAAGGATTACATATGATCTGGAAGTAAGCTGTGATCTTTTTATCTTGTAGATGTGAGGGATGTGAGCGATGTTATTTAAGATATTGCAGATTAATTGACTGGCTAGGTGATGCGGTCTGTTTGAATATAGTGCTACAATGTTATAGTGCTACAATGTTTTAATGAAACGATAAATCGCATTTTTTCGAGTGCTAACTGCTAAATGTCGCGACCTTGTTATTACATGGTAGTCGTTATTTTGGCAAAATTCATGATGAATACTGTGAATTAGTATGTTTGCAATCACAATTTATGTACATACATATGTAATACGTCATTCATTAATTGGCTGGATGTGAACGGTATAATTTCCGTCGTAAATTATTCCCTAACTTAGCTTATCATCTTCAATACGAGGTCAATTAGTAATATTATGATGGCAATTAGTAATGTGTCGGCACGATTATTTTATATGCCGGCCTTTTTTCTGTTTTGCGAATTTCCGAAATACGTAACACAGCAATTTTTAATCATTGGAATGATGATTAGTAAGGATGGTTGACAAAACCATTTAAAGGATGATAGCACTGATGAGTACAGACATTATCACTTACTTTGAGTAAAATACATCAAGCTTCAAGCATAGCATTCCATTGTGAACAGACACTATCCTCCTACTATTCACCACTAAGTTGTCTATATACTATATATATAGTATATAGAATATATATAGTATATATATAATAATAATAATAAATTGAAGTTTAAGAACACCACTATTAAGATAAACTTATACTCAGCAGTGTTTAATCTAGTCATCCCAGAAACTATCATGATAAAAGTTAGGACTGCTATCAAATACTTGAAAATATATCGTTCATATGAGTGAAACTTAAAACTAAAGAACTAACACTAAATATAGGCCAAAATCAGTCATTGATATAGTTTTTCAAGTTCATGCTGAGACAGTTTAAATAAGAAAGTTTTTAGAAATGCTTTAAAAGATTCCAGGGATTCAGCTGATGTGATGGTAGTAGGCAGACGGTTGTAGATCTTTGGAGCCACGACTGAGAAGCTTCGCTCGCCAAACTTAGAGTTGAACGATGGAACCATAAGTTTCAATGTGTGACCATGATGAGTGTACCGAAACATGTCTTGAATATACGTTGGAGCGAGCCCTAATAATGATTTGTGAGACAACAGTAATATTTTGAACACAATCCTTTTCTTTACATCCAGCCAGTGAAGATTAGTCAGGTCGTCTTCCAGGTGGTCATGCTTATATTTACCAGTAACGGCTTTTGCAGCAGCATTTTGTAGTAACTGAAGCTGATGTAAAAGCTTCTCGCCAATACCAAAATATAAACCGTTACAATAATCTAGACATGATACCACTAGACTGTTGACGATGACTTTAATCTGTTTGAGATTCAAAAGGAAGCGGATTTTCCTGATATTGCGCAAGGTATGAAAGCATTTCTTCTTGAGATTTATAATTTGTTTATCAAAAACTAGTTGATTGTCCATAACCAACCCTAGATTCTTAACGGTGGGGACAAACATAACTAATGTGTTAGGAGCAATTTCAACCCCATGAAGTTCAATCTCATTTAGTACCTTTCTAGGTCCAAAGACTATAAGCTGAGTTTTAGAGTCATTTAATTGCAGATAATATTGAGACATCCAATTCTTTATCCTCAAGAAACAATTTCTCAGTTGGTTTGTTAAGGTTTTCACCTGATCTGAGGGTTTGAAAGATTTCATAATTTGATGATCGTCTGCATAACCAATAATAGAAAACCCAGATTCTTTTACACAGCTGTACAATGATCTAATATAGATGTTGAAAAGTACAGGGCCTAGCACAGAGCCCTGAGGTACTCCAAAACGTAAAATTATGGTTTCAGAGACTGATTTACCAAGTCTGATACGCTGACAACGTCCTGTTAGGAAGCTGGTGAACCAACTCAGAGCTGACCCCCTTATTCCTATTTCTTGCCTCAAGATCTTCAGAAGTAAATTATGATCCACAGTATCAAAGGCTGCACTGAGGTCCAACAGCATAACAACAGTAGCTGTTTTTTCATCTGCAGCAATAAGGACATCATTAACGATTTTTATCAAGAGAGTTTCTGTGCTGTGGTGTTTCTTGTAGGCAAATTGTTCCTGACAATTCAGATTATTCCGACTAAGGTGCTCGTTAAGTCTTCTCAAAACTACTCTCTCAATTAATTTTCCCAGGAATGTAAGGTTGGAGACAGGTCTGTAGTTTTTCAGTATATTCGGATCCTGAGACTCATCTTTCACTAGGGGAATAACGTCAGCCAGTTTAACACCATCCATACTGCCGGTGGACAGCGATTGGTTAACAAGATCAACCCAAACATGCAATAGGGAAGTGATATTATCCTTAACAAGATCTTGTGGTAAACAGTCATTAGGTGAACAATTGATTCCACTTTCCTTGATTATATCTTCAAGTTCTGAGATACAGGTTGGTTCAAATTCGAAGAGGGGTGTTACAGTAGTATCAGTGCAATCTGGTATAGAGGTAACAGGTATGTTATCACGAATCTTTTCAACCTTTTCAGAGAAGAACTTGTTGAAGTCAGATGCAAGTAGTTCAATATTATCAGTGTAGTCAGGTAGAATTCTACTTTGTTTACGATCCATTACCTTATTGACAACTTGATAGAGAGTTCGAGTTTTATTCTCTGACTTATTGATAACAGTTTCCAAGAAATCTTTCTTTTTAGTCAAAGCTAGTGTAGTAGCCTCATGACAGAGTTCTTTGTAGTGCAGAAAGTGTCCCTCAGATCTATTTTTCTTTTTCTCGGCTCGACGACGAAGTTTTCTCAGATCTCTATATTCCTTATCAAACCATGGAGCTTTATCCACTACTGACACTCTTTTGCTAATTAATGGAGCATAAACATCAAGAAGGTTCACTATAGAGGCATCAAGACTCACTACAGAAGTCTCAAATGATTCTGAAACATCAAACTGATCAAGAACATCATTAAGGTCACGTGAAAAGGTATCCTTGTCTACAGCTTTAATATCTCTGAATTCAATTGATTTGAAATATTTCTTTCCTAAAGTGTTGCTTATGTTACAGATTATAGGAAAGTGATCTGAGCCTAGTGTATCGCTATTGTCAATAAACACATTATTGCAATGAAGATGGTTGTTCAGCGAGAAAGTAAATAACTGATCTAGACATGCACCACCAATGTGTGTTGAACGATCATACAGAGCATGAAGACCATATGATCTGAGTATCTTTAGAGTATCAGATGCAACCCTGTTGTTACCATCAAAGTGTATGTTGAGATCTCCGGCCAGGACAATATTATCACAGCGAGTAGAAATATCAGAGAGAAGAAGGTCAAGTTCCTGTGTAAAAGCAGAGGTTAAAGGGCCAGTCCTGTACATTACAACAAAAAGAATCTTATTAGAGCTGGTCTTAACTTTTCCCATTGTGAGTTCGAAATGTTTGAATACTATCCTACTCTTTTCCATAGAGCACGTTAAATTTGACCGAAATATGAGTGCAGTGCCACCACCCCTCTCGTTAAGCCTATAATTATGGTGGAGTGAGTAACCTCGTTCCTTAATAATAGCAGTGGTTACTGATGAGTTGCTAGTCAGCCACGTCTCACAAACAGCAGCAATATCAATATTTTTGTCCTCCAAAAGGCTCACAAAAAGATCAGCTTTGTTGTTGATTGATCTAGGATTAAAGAGAAGGAGGTTGAAATCTGACGATTCATTGGATCTGATCATT